GAAACAGGCCCTGTGTTTAGTAAATTCTGTGCTTTTGTCAAAGGTGATTTTTAAGAAATGTTGATTGGAAGCTGCTGGGACTCATTTACAAAGTGGATGCCTTTTAACCAGAACATAAGAACCTATTGTCCCACTTCTGGGTGTGTGACACAAACCCTGAATGTGCATGGAGCTCTTTTGCAAGCATCATTTATGATAGTAACTGGAAACAAACTACATCTTCAACCAGAAGGAATGGCAAAGAAAGTCGTGAAGCAAGGATTAGTGAAATATTATTCAGCCATTAAAAACTGTGATTACATTATACAACAACAAGGGAAATGGAATGTTAGATGAAAAGCAAAACAAAATTCTATTGCCCTTACTCTCACAAAGATGTAAATAGGCACAGGAAAAGAGTGAAGTGGTTATTATTGTAGTGATTGAGGGTTATAGGCAACTATTTTGACTCTATGTTGAAGAGCTTAAGTATAGTATTTCTATAATTTAAAAATAAAATGAGTGAGTCATTTGTAGGACATACGTAAATATATGCCATCTATACTATATTTCCTATCTACATGTGTGTGTTAATTATATCTCCTAATAAATGAGAAACCCTATGAACTTTGCAATGGTGATATTGGTGGAAAAAAAACACATTTTGGATCCCAGAGGATTCTTGGCAAATGTGAGTGAATATCTTGTAATCTTCAGAGACATAATTTTTTTAAGTTTTATTAAATAAATATTAAGTTAGAACCAATTAAAAATCGTTGAGATATTTATTGTAAGTATTCAATTTTTTTTTTTTTTCTCCCTGTATATGGTAGACGTGGTGGTTTGGTCCATCTTACATTCCTTCTTGGACTGCAGTGGCCAGAACATTTAAAACCACATTCGTCAAGACTCCCTTGCAGCCAGGGATCTAGCTGTGAATTATTTTCTACCAATAGATGAACTATCAAGATCTGGAAGTAGAAATGAGATGAGGCTCCCATCCTGATGTTGTCTGCTGCCTGGCAAGGTCAGAGGCACTTTAGGTAGGAAAAGTTAGGTAGGCAGTTCCCACAGCATTGCAGTGTCTGGTCACCAGATTCATGAGTATTGAGAATCATGTGTGTGGCAGTGGGGATGACAGCAGTGATGGCAGCCTCTTGGTCCCCACACCATGGCTTCAATTGGTGGTCCTCTGATTCTTAACCTTTGAGGCCAGGGCGGAGATACACTCCCTTGGGAAGCCAGTTTGGCAGTGTGGTTCTGCGCTTCTACCCTCCTCAACAATACTGTGTCCAGCAGCAAAGGGCATCGTTAGGAAGCACCAACACAGGGCTGGACCAACACAGGGGCTCAGATGTCAGGGGTGTCCCAGTGCAGCCGCCAACCCTGCTCCTAGACCTCTGGGGAAGACCTGTTGGGAGAGGGCAGTGCGTGAACCATACTGCCACAAGGAGGGAGCAGCTCTGTCTTTGAAAGGGAACAACCTGAGGACCCAGGAGCAGAGAGGAGTGGCAGCTAACTTGGTCCTCTCCCCTGGGGGCAGGCCCGGAGACTCAGAATGACTTACTGCTTCCACCAGAGTCTTACATAAAGTTCCTGAACGTTAAAGTTCTGAAGATGTCATCATGCTGCCCTGGCCCAACTGGAAGCCAAGCTCCACTTAGAAAGGGGAAGCTACAGGGCATGTGAGTGGAGAGCACCTGGCTTAGAGCCATGAACCTGAGCAAGCCCTGGTTCCACCACTAGCCAGCTGTGTTAGTCTGGCCTATCTAGTTGACATGCTTCCTCCTCCATGGACTGTGGTCACTGCTCCTCACTCCATGGCAAACAAAAATATGAAAAAAATAGAATGAAAGCTCATGGTAGCGTGCACATAATTTGGGTATGTTGGGGAGGAAAGAGGACAGTCAGTCAGGGGTACAGAGGAAAAAGGCCCAGGCTTTCTCCAAAATCCTGCTTTTTTCATGGTGATTACTATAACCCCGATGTCAGCCTGCACACACATGCGACACAAAGCTACGTAGTACATTCCCAGCCTGCAGAATGTAACCAGTGCAGAGTCTCCCCCCCAGGTCCCCGCATTCCTCTGCCATGAACCAGAGAGAAGGTCCCTTACCGCTGTGGAGCAACTACAGCTGCCACTGTGTCTAGTTGGGCACTGCATGGGGTGGTACCAGGGGGACCCGATCTACCTCCTGAGAGCCTGCCTGTGTTCTGGTGTCCTCCGACTCTCCTGCTTGAGTCCACTAGTAATTGTGCCACACCATGTGGCTGGGCCAACACAAGGGCTCCCATCTTTCATTCTTCCCTCTCCTCCCCTATTTCCACAAGTACAATAGATGCCTCCATCGCCTAATAAAATCTGCCTTCCCTGCCCCCACCTGAAGCACTGCCCACCTTCTCCATCCCGAAGCCCATGGAAGGGTGATCTCGGCTGCCCTCTCTCCCTGCAGTGCACGCAGTTAACCCTTGACCTGATGGTTTCTGGCCCCCCCGTGATGTTGTATACAGGAACTCTGCAAAGGTCACCAATGACCTTAAGGCCCAATCGCAGCCCCTCCCACCATGAACCTCTCCACCTCCGTTCTGCCTCCTCTGGAATTCCTTTCTCACTTCCGCTCTCGCTCTCGTGCTTCCTGCCCTTCCCTCCCTCTCCTTCCTCTCTTCCCATTGGTCATCTCCCCATCCCCAGGCCCCAGAGAGCCAGCTGGGCTCCTCAGAGCACCACTCAGTGTTATTGTGCCTCCCAGGCTGTTCTACCGGAATATTCTACAGAACCTAAAGCACGGAAAGTGCACGGTATTCGTGTCCTGGGGCTGTGTAATGAAACACCACAAACTGAGAGGCTTAGAACAGCAGAAATTCTCAGCTCACTGTGCTGGCCGGGGTGGAGAGGTGGGTGTACACTGTTCAACTCAGTACAGTGAGACAGCCGAGGTCTCTAAGAGGCCTGGTTCTAGTCCTAATATTTCTTGCCTGCAATCCATTATCTGTGAAAAGAAGGTCTGGGTTAGGGTTAGAGTCAGTGGTGTTAGTTATTCAGGGGTGTGCAGGGCTCCCGCCAGCTCTTTCTAATCTAAAACTAAATTCACTGTAACTATCATGAACCAACAATAATTAAAAAGTTAAAAAATATGTTCATAATCTTTCCTCACAATCACGCACTCCTGCTAATGTCCCCTGCCATGCTCCCTGCCATGTACCTCCGTTTTACCAGCTACACAGCTGGCCAGCTGATTCTCTTTTTTTTATCTCTTCGATCCTATTAGCCATGTGTAGATTTAGCCTCTGGGACAGAATCACTTATAGCTACAGTGACAAAATAACATATCCTTCAAACTGGGACACTTTTCAAGAGTGATAAGGGTCCCTGTTAATAATTTACACCAGGAGCGGTGCCTGTGGCTCAAAAGGGTCGGGCGCCAGCCCCATATGCCGGAGGTGGCGGGTTCAAACCCAGCCCTGGCCAAAAAAATAATAATAATGATAATAATTATACCAGGACAGAATAAAGGTATAAACTGAGACTTTCCTGGGATACCAAGACAAATGCTCACCCTCATGATAGCCGGCCTTTGTTTGTCATTCCCCAAACCATTTCCCTAAATCCATGGCCCTTTTCTTTCCTTATATCCTCTTCAAGGGGAAGACCCTCCATATTGAAATAGGGTTTACCGTCCATTTCTCAGGTCTGATGCTTCATCTTCCACAAAGCTTTGACCCTGTAAAAAGTGAGATGAACTCTGGAGTTGCCATGACCTTCCCCTTTATATTACAGTTCCAGAAACCATGGTTTATACTCTCATTACAACCAAGTTCCTTGAGGATACACACTAAGTAAACAGTGTGTATTATTAAATGGGTAAGAGCTTCTTTGGAAAAGAGCACTATATTCCTATATATATAGTTCAAGTATTACAGACATCTATGATCTCCAGGGAATTAACAAATAGGTTTCACCTCAGACCCAGAGGTTCTAAACATAGTTTGTGAAGAAGACAGGAAAAAACGTGCCATTTTCTTTTTCTTTTTTTTTTTATTGCTGCAACGAAATATTGAGCAATAATATAATTCAAAAAAAGTAACATTCACATTGTCAAAAAAGAGTATGTCTATTATAGAAAAACGTGCATTTTCTTTTCTTCCAAAGTATATATCCCAAATGCTCAACTAGGGTACTTTCTTTTGTTGTTGTTGTTTTACATAGAGACAGAGTCTCACCTTATCACCCTCGGTAGAGTGCCGAGGTGTCACAGCCCACAGCAACCTCCAGCTCGTGGGCCTAGGTGATTCTCTTGCCTCAGCCTTGCAAGTAGCTGGGACTACAGGCGCCTGCCAGAAGGCCTGGCTATTTTTTTGTCACAGTTTGGCAGGGCCGGGTTTGAACGTGCCACCCTCGGTACATGGGGCCAGCACCCCACCCACTAAGCCATAGGCACCGCCCTAGGCTACTTTCGTATATAGCATGGGGTTCCAAACGCTGGGGACCTGGAAGAGACCTAGAACATGATATAGTCTGTAAGCCCCTACTTAGAAGTGAGCAAAAGAGATTCAAGGTAAAGTAATTTGCCCAAGGACACGAATGTGGTTCCTAGCGCAGCCAGGATAAAATCGCAGGTGTGTCATCCAGTACCCTTTCACTCATTCACCTTTGAAATAAACTCTGAGGCTGATAAGACTCCTTTATTACTGTCATTAGTCATATCTCAGATGCCGGCTCTATAAAAATCAATAGTCATCAATTCTCTATTCGAGCCAGGTTCACCTGACACAGCACGTTTGCACTCAGCCTCATTTGCCAAGTTCCTGGGATGAGTTTTGCACTGAGCTCTAGGCATGGTAAATGAGACAGTTCATTGATCATAATAAGCCTGCAGGCAGCAGAGTTCTATTTTCAGTGCCTCAACATACCACTAAGCAGAGACGCGGCACTCTGCAGGAGAATGGAGAGGATATAGCATAAAAATAAAAAGCATATGCTTTGGAGACAGGCTAGGATTAAGTTAAAAAAAAATACCCACCGTTTCTAAAAGTTGTCTTTGTGAGAAGCAGCTCATTTGCAATTCGAAGCACCAACCGTTGTGATTTTCCATTTGAGTTTCAGGTTCCTGGTCTCTGTCCACAGTATCCAGTTATTCAATGGCATGTCTCTTCCTGACTTTAGTCACTGGTGTCTCTCAAGTCTGGACCTCAATTTCAGCTGCTGTTGGAGGCAATTGCAGAACAATTGTGAATTTGCAAGTGAAAGCCACATGAAGGTGACTGAGTTAGCACCAGGAGTCTCTCAGATGAGAGGAGGGTTAACTAAGGATAAGCACTTGACTGTCCATCCCCACCGTCCCCTTCAGAAATATAGGGTTGGCCAGGCACAGTGACTCATGCCTGAAATCCCAGAACTTTGGGACTGAAGTGGGAACATCATTTGAGCTCAGGAGCTCAAGCTCAGCCTAGGCAACATAGTGAGACCCCATGTCTACACACAAGTTTTTTTTTTAATCAAGCAAAAATTACACAGCTGTAGTCCCAGCTATCAGGAGGCTGAAGTAGGAGGATCACTTGAGCCCACGAGTCAGAGCTATGATAAAACCACCACACTCCAGCCTGAGCAACAGAGTGAGAATCTATATCAAGAAAAAAGAAAGGATGAAAGAAATGTAGGGTAGCAAGGCTGTGAGCAGCCTCAGAGAACAGCCCTCCAGAACTTCCTCCTTTCACAGGCTCCCAGATTGAACCCTCCGCTGTCGTGCTGGTGGATGAAGTATCTGAGGTTCCCAACCTTGCCGCACTAGAATAAGCAAGATGGATCTTTTCCCTAATATAAGCTCCAGGCTGCAGGCAAATCCAGCCACACACAAAATGCAGCCCCCTACTCCTTTGAGCCACAGGCGCCGCCCTAGCCATAGTCATTTTGTTATAGGATGTTTATGTTCATCGAAGATCTCTTAATCAGCAGTTAATTCTGCTTTATAAGTGTCTTCTTTTTATTTTTTCCCAAAAGTAAAAGTGTTTTTGACAAATGCAAGTACATAAAATCAGGGTGTGAACACGATTTGTTAAATTTAATAGTCTTTTTTTTTATTAAGTGATAACTATGTACATTAATGCAATTCTGGGCTACAGTGTGGTGTTTTCACATACAATTTGAAATATGTTCATCAAACTGGTTAACATAGCCTTCATGTCATTTTCTTAATTATTGTGTTAAGACGTTCATATTCTACTCTTAGAAAAATTTACTTGTACCCTTGTAAGATAAACCATAGAAGTGATTCGTCCAATCACGCTCCCTCCACCCATTCCCCCATCTCTCTTCCTCCCTCCTCCCCATATTCTTGGGCTGTTACTAGGTTATAGATTTCATGTGAAAGCTATAAATTAATTTCATAATACAGCTGTGTACATTGGATACTTTTTCTTCCATTCCTGTGATACTTTGCTAAGAAGAACACTTTCCAGCTCCATCCATGTGAACATGCAGGACGTAAAGTCTCCATCTTTCTTTATGGCTGCATAGTATTCCATGGTGTACATATATCACAGTTTGTTGATCCATTCGTGGATCGATGGGCACTTGTGCTTCTTCCATGACCTGGCAAATGTAATAGTCTTAATTTTCATATATAGACCAATTCAAATGCAAACCATCCATAAGGTTCCTTCAAGAACATGGGCAGTCTCTCAAACTGATCAGTGTGGTGCAAATAAACCAAATTTCTCTTAAGAGGCTCGTGCACTTTTTCAAGAACAAGGATATTATAATCTAGCGCATCTGTACAGGTAGAAATATAGAATACCTTCTTATAGCAGTGCTGTATTTGCCTCTGTCCTTCAGTCATCGGTCCTAGGACAGCAGTGAACTCTCTTAATCCCGTGTCTCTCTGTTCCCAGGAGCTGGTGGCCAAGTCACACTAAATAATAGCAACTTGATAACTTTCAAGCACTTTCACATATCTTATCTCGTTTGCTTCTTAGTTATTAAGGAGCAAGCTGGAGAAACATAGGCTATGTAATTTTATAGGATGGTTGGGTCCATTCCTAGCTGCACCCTAAGAGTGTTGATTAATGATGACAATATCAGCCGGAAGGAGGTGTGACACAGGACTCTTGTCCTTGACCAGGTTCAACTCAACTATTTTTTTTTTTTTACAAGCTACTAGAAAAATTCATGGAATGGAGATGTAACAACCACTCAGAAAACACGTGCTAGGAAAAGTAGCTTCTTGGAATGTTAAAAGTCAAAATTTTTTAAATCATTAAAACTATAAAATTTTACCCTTAAATTCTAAACATTGGGGATGTAGTAGACAGAATAAAGCTCCCCAGAACTAGTAAGACTTCACGTGATACCATCCTTTGTCCAAAAGCTTGGGGGGACCTCCGGCCCCTAGAACATTTTTCCCTGTCTCTGCACCTGGATAGCTCCTCATTTCCCTACCTGTCCCCATTTGGAGGCATGTCACCTCCTCTGTGAAGCTGTCCTCACTTCAGAGGTTTGCTGCTACTGCTCAAGTCAAAAACCCTGGCGTCATCTCTGAATCTTCATTGTCGTTCACACAGAATGACAGGAACCATCTATTATCTATCAAGAATCATGCCAGCTCTACCTCTGAAGTATTACAATATGGTTACATTGATTCTTTCTTAAGATACACTTCAATTACAGTTTTTATTGTGTTGTTTATATCTATTGTTTATGGTATGCCTTGCCCCAGTAAAATATAAGCTGCAGAGGACAGAGAGACCTTGGATTTGCTCATTGATACTTCTCAGAATCCAAGAGACCTTGGATTTGCTCATTGATACAATAGTACTTGCCACGTGGTAGGAACCTAACAAGTATTTACTTTTAATAAGTCAGTAAGTGAATCAATGAGCATGAGTTCTGTGCTCCACTTTTGTGCTCCCACATCCCCCTGTAATCCTTCATCATAAGACTTTATGCATTGTGCTGTGTCCACTAGGTTTGTTTCTACGTAAAAACCTATTTTTAATTACGTGCTTGCCCGTGAATAAATCCTGGTTGACATGTAATGGTTTTCTGGTCGGACCATTTGACTAGACTGCAAACCACAAAGAGCCCATAGCTGGTCAGCCTGGCTGACCGCCCTGCACAGAGAAATAGTATATTTATTGAGTGCCAAGCACTCTTTGGTTTTGTATGTACTAATTCACTTAATCTTTATAACACCTCAATGAGGTGGGTACTATTATTATCCCTATTTCATAGATTAGGAAACTGAGGCTCTGGCAAGTTAGGAAGTATGCACACTGGCACATAGCAAAGGGTGGATCCTGGATTCTGACCTAAGGAAGTGTGGCCCTGAAGTTCCAGGGACTCTGGAGATAGCATGCTGCCACAGGGTATGGATTTCACCTACGAGAAAACCTAGAGGGTCCTATAACTTACCAAGGTCACTCAGAGCCAGCAACGGGGTCCCGGTCTTCCCCCTGCTTCCTGGGGACCTCCGTGCTGCCTCCCACTCTTTCCTCCTCTACTCTGGGCATCAACTGGTCCATTTGGACATTGCTGCTCAGTCGCAGAAGCTCTCATCTGTGCTCAGGATGGGATGTACCCAGCTTCTGAGGACATTACTAAGGCCAGGATGTCTCAGGACAGACATAAAGCCGAGCCCAACCTTGGCAGCATCTTACCGTTTTTTTCAGGGTCAATTTTCCTAGTTAACAAGCAAGTTACCTTGTTATTTCCATCAAGATTTCCAGGTCTAGGCTGGTGCCTGTGGCTCAAGGAGTAGGGCACTGGGCCCCATATACGGGAGGTGGTAGGTTCAAACCCAGCCCTGGCCAAAAAAAAGAAAAAGATTTCCAGGTCTAAAACCTTTGCATTCCTTCATTTAAAAGGCAGCAGTGTCCATTTAAATTTTACATGCACCGTGATTCTTATTTGATAGGATCTGTCAGTGCTTTGAGGAGGAGTCTAGACAATAAAAACAGAAGACAAGCCATGTGTAATTTTAAATTTTCAAGTAGCCACACTAAGACTATAAAAAAAGACAGGGGAAATGAATATTAATAATATATGTATCCAAAATAATAATTGGCAATATACTTTGCATTTTTTTCCATTACCATTTTTGAAAGCAGTGTGTATTTTTTTTATTTATTTCTTTTTTGCAGTTTTTTATTTTTTTATTTTTGGCCAGGGCTGGGATTGAACCCACCACCTCTGGCATATGGGGCCGGCACCCTACTCCTTGAGCCACAGGCGCTGTCCACAGTGTGTATTTTGTAACTTGCATCACACCACAATTCAGCCTAGCCACTTTTCAAGTGTTCACTAGCCACATGAACCTAGTGGCTACCATAGCCAACAACGCAGGTCTGGACTCCTATTTTCAATGAGTTTGGTGGTGACACATCAAAGAGAAATAAGATTATGTTTTGCAGGGAGATAGATCTAATGAAAGGGGTACTTAGTATCAGATGCTGATGATACATGTCAGGGGAGAGAGGGGAGGGACTAAAAATGGAATAGGAAGGAAATAAATGGTGCCTCCTCCAGGAAGAAGCTTGAGAGGGGGTTGTGGGGACAGGAAGAGTATGCGTGGGGTACAATTAAAGACCAAGACAAGAGCAAACTTTGAGGCTGGTTGGGTTCTTCTATAACTACTTAAAATTACTCATACTTGCATACAAAAAATAAAACACAACTATAGCCTAGGGAAGGGGAGGGTGAGGGGAGGGAGGAGGGTGGGTCAGTAGAGGGAGGGTTGGTGGGGGGACCACACCTATGGAGCATATTGCAAGTACAAGTTGGATCTATTAGGGGTAGAGCATAAATGTCTTAATCCTGTAATTGGGTAAAAGTGGTGAAGGTTATGTTGCTTAGTAGGAAGCAAGCACTCCAATTTGTACAAATAATCAACACACTGAATCCTATAAAGGCATAAATGTATTTATGATCTATGTACGAAAGGTTTAATGAAAAAAATAAAATCATATTACTCTTTTTCATGATTCTTCGTGTTCACTCTACTTCCTTCTCTCCACGCTGCCGTTCTCCGTTGCTATCATTATGAAATCAGAACCAAAGAGTGACGACTCCTGCCACCTACAAGCCCATCCCACTTGGTGCCACTGTGCAGCTGTGGGATTCCACCAAATCAATTTCCCCCTATGGCTCCAGCTTCCTTTCCGTAACGTGAGGTGGTCGGACTATTCAGGTCTT